CTTCCATGCCACCAAAGGATCGTGATTATCTTCTGGGAGGACCCATTGCTTAATTATTGCTAGCTTTTGCAGCTTTTTGTAGTCTATGATGGCACGAGTACTGCTCTTTCGGTTTTCTTGGGTAGATGCGGCATGATCACTACGTCCTAGTGGAGAAGTGACATTGACAGATTCCAACATCAGCTCCTCGTTAGTCAGCACTAAATCCAGTGTTGATGGTTTGTGACCTGCTCCAAATCTGGTGGGTTCTGTTACGTGGTTGTGCAGTGGGTGCAATCCAATCAACTGAGATAATTGTTTCTCAAATGGCTGGCGGGAAGTCCTCGATCTCATAAGATTGGGGCAGTTAAAGTCACCCATTATGAGGGCATGGGTGAACTTTAGTGCTAACGCATTCCTCATGGTTTGCAACAAAATCTCGTTGGCTGAGTTTGAAGATGCGGGAGGTACACAACACCGATTAGACATCTATCATTCTTGGAGTCTTACTGAACACCATAACGAATCGGGGGCTGCGTCGGGAATATCAATCTGTTCCCACTGTAAATTGTTTCGATGATAAAGCAGCACTCTACCGCCTTGTGTAGGACGATCACGTCTGAGCAGCGACATTCCAGATAGAATAATAGAGAATAATAGTCTTCAGAAAGTAAACAGAGGGTCATAACTGACCGGTTCAATAAACCGCCTGTGTAGTTTTCCGGTCCCAGTTACAAGGCTGTTGATTTTCTTGACCGAACCATGGGTCTTACAGGATGCAAGGTTTATTTTTCTTATTAATCATCATGCTGTGCGCGAAAAAAAGCAAGTTTTAATGACGAAGCCATGAAATGTAATTGGAATGATATTCGGAATGTGAAACTTCTGTGAAATGAGGCGAAAACGACCGGTCCATCACCTCAGGAAACGGTGGTCAAGCGATTAGGGTCACCAGTTTGTCGCAGTGGAGGACGTGTGTTCAAATCCCACTATTACCGACAAAATCTCCTTATTTTCTACCTACCATATCCGCTTGATTGGCAGATACCCAGTTTTTGAAAATTCTTTGTATCATCATCATACAGGTGTATAGATACTTTCAACAAAAGGAAGTAAAAGGAAAAGAGAATTCAACCTAATGTCGCTCAGTTGCAATCGTTCAAGTTGGTGACCTGTGATGTATTTTAACCAATATGAGAAGGACTGAAATACAAGGGTAGTAGAAGCCAGTAATTTAAAAGGGACAGTTAGCGTTGAAGTGAAAACAAATAAAATAAGGTTAGTAGCTTGACGGCCAAGTACGTTTCTATTGAGACTTTGATCTCGGCGGACTCAGCAAAAACTGAAAGAATGCGTCGTCGACAGACAATGCACGATTCGTTGCCAGATTGGCACATCAATCTAATCGTTTGTTTCCGCTCTGTACTATCGATTCAATGGCAGTGTGCAAGCAGGAAAATTTTTCAGCAGTGTATACAATGAAGAAGAAACAAATTGTGCTACTTGCCTGAGCCATCATATCAATGAGATCATTCAATTCTAGTCGTCTTCCTTCTTCTCTTCGGAGGAAATCAACCAAAGCTCCATTACGCATCAACTCGGTGATTATGTAGACCGGTTGATCTTCCGGCTGCGTGCATACGCCCAACAGTTGAACAATACGTGGATGATGGAACGTGTGCATTAGTCTAGCCTCTTCAATAAACCGGGCACGATCTGTGTTCTCCAGTCGCATCTTAACAGCCACTTCAACAGAACCATTCCACTTGGCCAACCATACCTCACCGAAACTCCCATGGCCAAGGCTGCGAACGGTAGTGATCGATTCTCGATTAACTTCGAAAGCACGGAATTGCACGGGTGGATGGTATTTTCGCGGACACGGTATAGTTAGGCGACAGCACAATCCCTCGGGATTTCCTGGGTATGAAAAAAGTAATTAAAAAGGGCTTTAAACCAAGTAGCGTAATTCAGCGTGAAAAAGCTGCTTCTGATAACAGGATCATTTGCACAAACCAATAAAACCACGGAAAAATGGAAGCCGAAACGTTCCTGAGTCTAGAAAACCTCCATTTGAATCTTCATTTTGCACATCGCATTTGGAATGCTTATCAAAATGAATCAGAAACTACATCGTTATTACGGAATTCTTGGTAGCACATTCTGGTTTGCTTGTATCTTATTCAGTGGGAAGCCAAACCTATTCAAGATATTTATTTATTATCTGCTCTTACCGGGCAGATCTGTATGCTATCAAGCGCGTCTCCAGGTAGCGGATGACGGAATGGCGCCAACTCGCGGTAACCCGTAAATAAAGTGGATAAGCGGTCGCAAACGACATTGTTCAAGGAAGTGATGCGTTTACCACTTGACAGCACTGTGGTGTGGAGAGTGCGACCCGTTAGTGAATATGGTCATTTCCCCCATGTCGCGTTCCATCTACCCAGAAGAAGAGGTGAACGAATGAACTCGCAACCGGATCATTTGGAAAAACCACTGCCTGGCAGTTCGCGCTCCGTTACGCAAAGGTTAGAGTACACAATCGAACAAGGCCCACTCGGAGCTGGAGAAATGGGTACTACAAAAGCCCACAACGCGTGAAAAACGAATATTCTCTCATTAACATATTCGCACACAGCATTCTCTCACACAAAACCAACCATACTCGTCGTCCAATTTCCCAAATTATTTTTCATCTTAAATTCAACATCCAACCCACTCGTGTATTACCAAATCTTTCGGGGACTTCAAACGTATGAACTAACGGGAATCCTGTCCTCATTCTTTTGCATCCTGCGTTCAAGGTTCATCGAATCTTTTAGCAACGCCAAAAACATCCCTTCGTCCTTGGTGTCTTTCCAAACAAGCCACAATAAGCAAGCGTACTCTGATGTCCAAAGCACAACAAGCACCTTTAGCTCAGGCCCTCGAGATCGACAGCGAGCATTCGTAGCACGCCTTAACGTAAGCCTACGCAGAAACCGCAAAATGAGGTGGACTCATAGTGCATTAAACATGAAACGTGCTGCCGCAACGGGAAACTCCCGTGAACAGTACCATCTCATTCGAGCCAACGTGAGAAAGTTTGGGGTGTGGAAGAAACGATCGACGAAGCTGCCGGCTAGCCTATTCATAATCAACAGTGAAGTCTGCCACGCCGGGCGGGATACTTCAAAGCACAGTTTGGCTGGTGAACAGGGTTAGTTTCTCGCACAACTAGTAGAACACAGGTCCCATGGTCAAGCTCAACAGACCCATCCTCCGAAGTGGAGATGCGCATGGTGAACCAAGTCTTGGGATGACACAGTGCCGCGCTCTGGTGACTTTTCCCTAGCTCTATTTAAAGATGGTGGAATAAAGCTTGTTACAGAACTTGACGTTCTGATCTCTAAAGTACGAGATATCGAGCAGGTCTCTTCCTCGAACGTTTTTCCCATCCTTAGAAGAGGGCCGCGAAGTGGGGAGATAAGTTATATCCCAATAGCGTCAAAGCTGTCGGCGTCCTTCATTCTTCGTAGACTGTACAGTACGCATGAGGAACAGACTGGGTTTCGTTCCGCTCGTGGATACATTGACCAAATCTTTAATCTCCGACAGTTGTGAGGGCAACGTCAAGGTTACCACAGACCAACGATCTCGTTCTTAGACATTCGCGCGGCTTGCGACTCTGGAACTGTTTGCTGAGGTATGGAGTACCTGAGAACTATGTATCGATCCACAAAGAGTTGCATCGTCATGCCTCAGGTAGGGTTAGGGTCTATGGCCAACTTTCGCCACCCTTTCCCGTCTAAAGTGGAGTTCGTTAAAGCTGCCTTATATCCCCATTCCGCCTCCAAAAGCCTCTGTATGGTTGGGAGCGGGTGTCTAGGGTTGCGGTTGGTCACCCTTCACTTGCTGCTGGTGCTATCGTTCTCTGTAAGGTTTGCCCGGAAAGTTCGTTTCTATCTTACAATCCCTTTATGCTAATAGCCGAAGCCGAGTCCCTGCTTACGTCTTCACGTCTTCACCAGAGTTCACTACAGAAAGTGATGTTCAACGGGGTTGCCCTCCCTCTCCCTTTCTATTCCATTCCTCCTCCTCCTCCTCCTCCTCCTCATCATCATCATCATCGCACAGTAAAATACAGTGAAGCGAACTTCACTGATGGCTGCTAAACTCACAATGCATACAAGGTTAATGGTAAAATTCAAGGTGGACAGGGATTGGATCTATTTTGAGGAAGGGAGAAGATGAGCCACTATGGTCAACACACAGAGTACCCAATCGAACTCTGCATACATACCGTTTCAAGCATTCT